ATTTTAAATATAAAGTTTTTTAGTTAAGAAATTAATAATGTACCTACACGGAGAGACCGAGGTTACTAATTTTTGTATAAAATCTCACTAGAATTTACTATTTTCACATTGCAACCACCGGAAATAAGGGGACTTTTTGTATTTTTTACTATTTTCTACACAAATTCACTATTTCGTCCAATAGTTCCAAACAACTGTAGTAAACTCAGAAATATTGTGTACGTAAAATTACTATAGTCGTTTGCAAATGCAGAAAGAAAGAGTGAAAGAAAAAATACGGATTTTTATCGCCGGTTTCCCGTCAATTCTTGACTAATGGAGATAAACTAGAAGGATTTTTACATACACAGACACACACACACACACTTATATATTTGTTGGATAAATATTTGAAGACACACACATGTTTATTTCACTTATATGTATAGACGCGGTTAATTAATACACTAATACACAACTGCACGCACGACAACGAATTTCACTAAAAGTATACATCTTTATTTCCTTATATATTGAATGATGAAAATTTACAGCACTTACGAGAAAGCAGTTTACTTTTAACAACTTATTCCAAGACATAGTTCTTGGGACAGGAATAAATGCAAAATTTATTAATTTCTAATGGTCAATTTCTGAGATAACGAACGACCTACGTTTCACTTTATATTTAATTATTGTAGATAATATCCAAATTTATTTTACATACGCGAAACATAGTCACTGTCAATGATCGGATGGCATCGGCTCATTTACGGAGATTGACGAAGTTAGCAACCAATAGAAATGCAGGCGCCATATGACTGCACTCACTAGCCACACTTGCTCACCAAAAATTACTACAGTGGATAGTAGGTTTTAGTGGAAAATGTTTTCATTTGTCAGATTTTGTCTAATTAAATTAGAGAAAACTATAATCAATTTTCGCTACATTTACAACTCTTACACAAAATATTAAAACTTGCTATTTTAATGTAGCAAATTTATCTATTTCTTTTGTAAATTTATCTAATTCTGTAGTACATTATGCTAAAAGTCCCCTTTTTTCCGGTCATTGCAACCATTTTTAGTAATTTTTACAAATGTGGGTCTCTCCGTGTACGACTATTTGCAACTATTACGAAAATTTTTTTTGAAGCTTTTGATACTATTTTTTATTTCTAAATTCAGTCCGAGATATGTGAATAAAATAAATACTATTTAATTGACTGAAATAAAAATTATTTGAAACAAATAAATATAATAAGTAAATCAGTAAATAAATAATATAAATAGTAAGTAGACAGATTTCATTAAAACCTATCGCTTTTTTTAATTGCAATTTACTTTCAGTTAATTTGACTTACGTTAAATTTAATATTTTATTAATTATTTATTAATAATTATTATTAATACACTTAATATTTTTTAATAAAAATTGTCCGAAACAAAAAACGTTTTAGTGAAAATTTAACCTGGAATGACCCATTATTAAACATAATATGGGTCATTCCTTATAGAAATTTCACTAAATAGTTTTTTTGTGTCGAACGATTTTTATCAAAAAATATTAAATGATTATATAATTTGTAGTAAAATGTTTTTAACACAATAAATAAATAATAATAATACCGATTTAATATATAAATCAATAAAACAACACAGCTTTTAAATAAACAAAGAATTTATTCCTCGAAGCTCGAATCAGGATACACGGATCGCCAAATTATAAAATCTCATATTTTCTAATGCCGCGTTCTAGACCAAATAAAAGTGCATCTTCACACTTGGACCCAAAACGGCAACTGCCCAAGTCATCCCTTGAAAAACCGCGCTTTCCTTGGGAGTCGCCAAATTCCTATGCCTCGTTGCCCTTGTCTAACATAGACCATATGGTTATCATATGGTCCTCGAACCGCCTAAACCTTGGAGTCTCTTTGTCCCGCGAAGTTAGACCCAAAGTTGCTCTCAAACAAGTTTACAGCATTTCCCAAAAATTTCCACACGACAAATTTTATAATTTATTAAATAAATGTTAATAAAATTATAAACAAAAGAATAAAATATTAATGAGCAAATAAAAATATTTAATCAACAAATGTAAAAAATTTAAATAAATTTAAAAAATATATACCTACACAAAAGTGAAAATAAACTACTATCGAAAAAAATAAATTTTTTAAATTTATTATTTTGAAAAAGAAATTTTTATGGTAATAAGAATTTTTTAAAAAATGCTAATAATGAAAAAAGAATTAGAAAATTTTTTTTGGATGTGATTGCTTAGAAATTAGCGTTAAATCTTGATAAGTTGGCCTTTTTAATATTCAATATTGAGAATAATTTTTTTCTTCCTTTTTTCTGCTTTAAATTCTAAACGTAATCGAAGGTCATTCTATTGTGATTAAATTAATCGATACTAGTGAAAAAAATCAGGTTTTCTATTCAAATATTTAATTTTCAAATTTTTAGATGAATTTCAATGAAGAAAAAAGGTGCGAAATGAAAAAAAGTAAGTTTTTATATTCGTAACAAAGTTAATTTTTTTTTTAATTTCTCTATTATACCCTTTTATTACTATTTCTCTTTTTGCTATTTTCCTATTTTATTTTTTCAATATTTTACTCTTACTATTTTTCTATTTTATTATTTTTTAATTTTACTGTTTTACTATTTTACAATTTCACTTTTTCTTTTACTACATAATTTTCTATTTCAATTTTTTTCTTTTTTACTATTTTATGAATTTTACTACTTAATACTTGCCCACCACCCTATGGTTTAAGCCTGGGCTAAAAAGTGTCGGTAAATTTCGGTGCAGAAATCTATATCTAGAACCGGGCCCTACTTATCTACTATTATAAAAAAAATAAAATAATTATAATAATAAAAAGGGTATTATAATAGTACATTATGCAACAAGGGAGGTAAGTCCGAGTACCCTTTATCTCCCTAGGGCAATAATGGTTATTTTATTGACCAGCTGGGTTATATGGGAGAACTTAGCATGCACCGGTACAAGTAGCATAGAGTAACCATAATACGCCTGAGTCGTATAAAAAATTATAATAAGAACAATATCAACAAATATAATTTTTCCATCATAGTGATAAAAAAACTAAGTAAATTACTAAATAGCCGAATATTTCTCACGTGTAAAAGATTAAAAAAGGAAGGAAAAAAATGATCTCCGAATGTGTAAAAATAATTCAAGGCCAAAAATGGACTCAAAGTCCTTTGTGTGTGAATGGCGAGGGCGGGAGGGAGGGAGAAGGCCCGCAATAAAGTAGTTTCAAATGTAGGTTATCGACTTGTTTCGAGAAGTCGATGAATTGGTATTCAGGTGCGATAGAAGTCGAATTATGAAACGTCCTCACCTTGACCGCATGCCAGGTCAAAAGATACATTTATATATATATTCTTTTATTTTGAATATTATTAAATCACAATACCAAATGGGATTTTTTTCTACCACGTCTAATTTTAAACTAGATGTATAATCGTTTGATATTTGAAATAAAATATAAATAATTTCTCTCTCTGTCTCCATCTTTCTTGTTAAGCATCGAAAGGTCGATGGGCTTTTATATTACAGAAAAAAACTGAACTCAAAATGAGACGAAAGAGTGACTCATTATGAGTTGCAACAAAAATGATCCCGATCAACTCATTTTGAGTTTTAGGCGAAAAGTTTTAAAATGAGTTGGGTCTGACTCATTTTGAGTTCAAGATAAAATTACAATTATAGTTAAATAACAATCACTTTATCATAGAAATATTAATTAAAATAATTGTTTTCAACAAACAAGCAGATTGCACTGCAAAAAACTTTGTTTCTTAAATCCGATTTATTGTATTTATGGAGAATTGAAAAAAAATTTTTTAGGTTAGAACTTGGGAATTTATAAGAATCAATACCAACCTTGCAAAATAAAATCAAAAATTTTAATATTGCCTAAATTAATTATTTTTTTAATTTGGACGTGATTAATTTTTTCTTTATTTATTTATATCTACCCAAGTGCGAAATTGGGTTGGCCCAAGGTTGGCCTAACTTTGGCAAGCGAAGTTTTAGTTGCAAGAGTTTTCCCAACTTTGGCAAGTACTAGTGCCCACGGTTGACCCGACGGTTAGCAAATGTCTGTGAAACGCAGTTTAAATGACTTAAACATTCTTGGTCGGCCGAACTCTGGGCCATGGTTGGCCAAACGGTTGGAAAAACTCTGTGAAACACAGTTTAAATGACTAAGACTTTCTTGGTCGGCCGAACTCTAAGCCACGGTTAGCCCGACTGTTGCAGCTTTAATATACATTTAACGTTATATATTCCCATGTAAGCGTAGCGTAGTGGTCAGTGTATAAGTCTTTGGTGCGTTAGGTATGGGGTTCGATCTCAGTGAGCGTTAGATATGTTTGAAAATGTATGTATTAGATTGTGTTTAATAATAATAGGTAAAGGTCATATCTGATGTTCCCGCTAATAATAACGTGATAATTGTATAAATAATTTAGTTTTTTAATAATTTTTTACCTTTGGCAGTTGAAGTTGGCCAAACTTTGAAAATTGTGGTTGGCCCAACTTACGCATCTAAAGTTGTGCCAACTTTGGCGTCAGTCTTTGGACCAACCATTGAAATGTATGGTTGGCACAACATATGCATTTTAAGTTGGGCCAACTTCCTTATGAGTTGTCGGGCCAACCATCGTCGCCATTAGACGGTGAACCGTTATCATCTGTATGGTTGGCCCAACCTCTGGCACGAGAAGTTGGACCGACTTTGTAAAAGTTGGCCCAACTATAGGCCGACCAAAAAATCGCACCTGGGTGATAATATAGATAAAATTTTCCTAAAAGTCCCGAGATGGGCCGGTTGAGTTTAAGGAGTTAATAAAATTTTTCAAAATTCGCTTTTGTCAAATATGGAATTTTTTGTTAATGTTTAATTTCTCAAAGAATTTTTTGTAGCTTAAGGGGAGGGAGGGAAGGAAAACTTATTGCTAAAAAAATATTTGTTGTTACTCACCAGTATAACTGCTTTTAAAGCTCTCGTGAAGTTTGAAGGTGAAAGGGATGTGGACCTTCATCATTTTCATCTGAGGGATTCGTGGTGCGTGCGTGATGACTCCGCCTGTTCCTCCAAACATTAAATCATCTCCGTGCACCCTTAGAACCATCATGTTCCTGAAACAAAAATATATTTCCTGTTTTTTATTTTTATATTATTATTTTGTTTATTATTAATATTGTCAATAGTATTACTATAATTATTATTAATTTTTATAATATTAATAGTATTATTATTAATATCATGAAAGAAGTTTCATTATTCAATTACTTTTATACGTTACTAAAGAATCTTCTCCCTCACTCTCACTATTCCCACTTCAGAGTTTACACTCCACCCCTCCAAAGTTAAATCTTTAAAGTGCAAGCTAAGAATGCGATGTAAATCTTCTAAATTTTTCTAAATTTATTATATATATAGTTTATTTGTCTTCAGATTTACAAAATCTATACAAAGGAGTCTTCCCTTTTAGAACATTTCCACATTCAGAGCGAGTTCGTTTATAAAATTTACAACTTTTTTAATAGAGAACATATCCACACTATTCAACAAATTCATCCACTCATTTTTAATTATCTCTGTGTCATTTTCCTGTGATTTGTATTTAAATCTATAATAATAATATATATTTTAATATTTTTAAAACATCTACATTCAATTATTAAATGATAATCATCGCTCAATGGCTTCCTATCCTCGCAGTAACAAAATTTATTTTCCGAAAATTTCAGACATTTTTTATTAACAATTATTCTTTTTTGGAAATTATTTATTAAACGGACCTGTACAAACACTTTTAAAAAACTCAGGGGTATCTTATGTTTGAAACATTTTTGTGCACCTACATATAGATTGAGATTTGGGTAAATTCGCAAGGCTTCAGATTTTTTGACTCTTACAACATCATTTAAATATAACATTTTTTCATAAGAAGAAATTAATTCATTCTTTTTATTTCTTAAAATTTCTAATGACAGGTTATTCCAAATCTCTTCTGCATCAATCTTGACAAATAATTTTTTAACTTGAAGAGCCCAATTAAATTTTTCAACAGAGAATTTTCTTGTGGATAACTCCCTAAGTCTTTCAAAGCATATCCGGGGGTATCGGTCTTCTGACATATCAAGAATATTTATAATCCAATTTACAACCAATTTAAATATTTTTAATTCGATATGCGGACTACCCGTTTCTACTCGAACTGCGTATCCTGGAGTACACTGAGGAATCTGCAGTATTTGTTTATAGTAATTTACATGTACTTTTTCCAACTCCTCAATATATCTTAAACCCCAAGTTTGTACTGCATATAAAAGTGTATTACTAACTGAGCTTTCAAATAATTTGTTTATCGTATTCCAGGAGTCAGGTTTTAGTCTATAAATTGTTTCCATAATTGAACCTATTGCCAAATTCGCTTTTGATACAAATTGATTGGTTGTCTGCGCAAATACTGCCGTCTCTTTAAATAGAGTTCCCAGATACGTATATTGTTTTACAATTTTAATTTTGTCTTTACCGTAATTTAAGTGAGTACATTTTTTCTTAAAGCCATATCCCCCTTTCTGAAAAATTATCAATTTAGTTTTCTCTACACTAACTTCCAATTCGTTCTCTTTGGAATACTCCAATAAACAATTTAGTATTTTTTGCATCATTACTTTAGAATCCGCGAGAAACACGAAATCATCCGCGTACTTCAGAATCAATATTTCCACCGCATGGTTCACCGATACTCCTCTAATTCCTCTAGAGATAAAATATTCTTCAATATCGGATATAAACAAATTAAAAAGATTTGGGCTCATCGTTTCGCCTTGCATAACTCCTCTAGTGACATCAACCGGACTCGTGGTTCCTCTCTCTCCCTTAATCGAGACTTTAGATCTAGAGTAAAGGTTCGTTAATAGTCTGATAATTCGAGAACCCAGTCCCATAGAATACAATTTATGCCATAGCAATTTGTGAGACACTGAAGGAAAAGCGTTTTTGAAGTCCACAAAGAGGGCAAGAAGTTTACCTTTACTGTGACTCAAACGAGTCTGAATTATTGCATTTAAAGTAAAGATGTGATCACTACAACTTTTGTTTTTTCTAAACCCCGCCTGTGATTCAGGAAGCAAATTTGATATTTTAATCCAGTTATTCAATCTTTCATTAATAATTTGAGTAAATATTTTCAATATATTATTTAAAAGTGCGATTGTTCTAAAATTAGTTGGGTCTTCTTTATTTCCTTTTTTATAAATCATTTTAAAATATAAATCAGTCCAAGATCGGGGGATTTCACTTGTGCTTATTATTTTATTAAATAAATTACTCATATACCGAATACCGATCTCCGGTAGGTTCTTCAAAAATTCGTAAGAGATCCCATCGGGTCCGGGTGATTTGTTATTTTTACTTTTATTCAGACTAACTGTAATCTCATTTTCAGATATAGGGGAATCAAGAATCGGATTTCCGAAATCTAGCATTTGTAATATATAATCAGAGTGCTCACGCGGGGGAAACATATTCCGAAGATAATTATTCCATGTTATTAAATCTATATTTTCCGAATTAAATTTTTTGACATTATATTTATTAATAATTTTCCAGAAATTTTTGGGGCTATTCGCAGTAGAGAGCAAATTTAGTTCATTTTGTTTATAATTGTCTTTTTTCTTTTTAATTAAATTTTGATAATTCTTTTTTTCTTCACTATATTCTATTACTTTTTCGGTTAAAAAATTATTTATTTTACAGTCTTTTAGTTTCTGGTTTAATAATCTCTTCCTCCCCAAACACTCTTTATCAAACCATACATTAGATTGATTAAACTGTCTATTTAAATTTCTTCTCATTCCTAATTTGTCTGCACCATTTTTTATAGTTTTAATTAAATTTGTTGCCAAAATATCAATTGTCTCATCAAAATCTTTATTGTTTAGAGAGGAAGAAATTATCTCCATATATTCTTTGGTTAAATTTTCATTCCATTTGTATCTTGTACTTATTTCGTTATTATTTAAAAACAGTTTTAATGATAGAACTACCGGGAAATGATCCGAACGTGAGGGGACAGTCCAAACTTCTAGTTTTTCAATTAAATTTATACCTTGAAAATTGACCCAAATCAAGTCTATTACTGATTTTTTATTATTACTTAGATATGTATAGTTTGCCGGATAATCTCCCGAAGTTCTCCCATTTAACAGAAAAAAGCCGTTTATTTCCAAACATTCGACAAGTTTTTTTTCTCCTATTATTAACTTCCATATCTAAATTTTTACGCTCATTTGAAACATTTATATTATTCAATTCAATTTCATCATTAATTTGGTTTAAATCTGAAACTCTAGAGTTAAAATCACCGCCGAGAAAAAAAGGAAGATTTGGATATTGACATTTTATTAAATTAATTACTTCGTTCAAAGCAATTAAATCTTTAACTATATCTGCACTTGGATTCAAGTAAACAAATCCTACAATAAAACTTCTACTTTGTACATTAACTTTAATTATGATATAATAATTTGTTGCTAAAAGAGTATTTATTTTGTACAACCTTGAATCTGCTAGTATTACTAATCCTCCTTTTGGTCTCCCGAATTTTTCCGTCTTGACTGCTGGGCTGTAAACAATTTCCATGACTGGTTTTCGTGGTAAAAAGTTTGGCTTGTCCAACGTGGTCAACCAAGTTTCGGATATGAATATAATATCCTCAGCCTTCATCTTGTCACAAATGTCATAGAAACTATTTATTCCTCTTGAATTCCAGAATACTAATCGTGTGGAGATGTCCTTTTCCCCGTATAATTTTATTAAGGTTGTCTCAGCATTCGAGGGTCCAAGTCCTTGACTTTTTAGGAAATGATCCAGCTGTTGATTTCCTTTTTCTTGATCGCTTTTCTTTTGAAATTTTGATTTTTTAGTTGTGTCATTTTTACTGCCAGGTTTACGACTTCTTTTACGTGAAACTACTGTGTTGAAGGACGTAATTGATTCGTCACTCTCTGAATGAAGCATTGTTTCATCGTAATCCAGTGTATTATTGTTTTGAAGTGAATACAATAGTGCTTGAGCTGTCGAGGCATCGAACTTCTTATTTTCAATAATAATATATTTTTGTCCTACATGCGCGATAAACTCGACTTTCCGTGCATGCATAGCGGGCGGAAAGTAAGCTTTTGCCGCCCGACTACCAACAGCGGGCGGAAAAACGACTTTTCCGCCCGCTGCTTTAGCAGTATTAAATAAATACTACTAATTATTATATTATCACTTTCTATTACTTCAAATCAAAACGGAGTCAATTTTTAAGCAAAATTTATCAAAAATATTCGGACTCGCCTTAAGGCGCTTGCACACTTCCAAATTTTTAGGCGAGCAGCGAATTTTCACGGCCTTGAAATGCACATTACTAAATATGATTGGCTCTGACAAAAGTACATTTTCACGCAGCTTTTTGTAGAGCCAATCATATTTAGTAATGTGAGTTTCAAGGCCATGAAAATTCGCTGCTCGCCCAAAATTTTGGAAGTGTGCAAGCGCCTTTAGGCTTAATAAAAATGTTTCATACACATTTAATAATTAGTGCATATTCATTTTTGAATTTACGGATGTGTCTTGTTTATCGCGCATTTGGACAAAAAATATCGTGTGCAACTCGGGCGGAAATGTCAATTCTGACCTCGTACGATTGCCGCCCTCGCTTCGCTCGTGCGGCTTTCGAACTCGGTCAGGAATTGACAACTTTCCGCCCTTGCCACACAATATACTATTCCCTTTGACTTTACCTTCTTTGCCAATCTGCTCAAAGCTGGTCTTGATTTCAAACAATTTTTTACGATCTTCCCGTTGTTTATCTCTTTGTTCTCTTGATAGATCATTAGAAAAGCTTATTTTCAATTCTTTGAACTTACTTGCATTTTCAAAGATTAGTTTTTTGGAAGAAGAATGTTTAAAAGTCACAAGTAGAGGTCTGGTTCTGCCACTGTTCCCAAGGCGTCTGCAACTCTCAATATCTTCTTTACTAATCCTTAAATTAGATGTAGAAAAAATATCCAACATATTTTAATAATTGGATCCTCATTAGGCATTTCCTCTATCCCGTAGAATACAAGATTTTTTA